CAATGGAATATTATTCAACCATAAAAAGGAATAAAGAACTGATACATGCTACAACATGGAAGACCCTTGAAAACATTATGCTAATACAAAGAGGCCAAACACAAAAGGCTACATTTTATAACATTCCATTTCCCTGAATGTTCAGAATAGGCAAATCCACAGAGACAGAAAGCAGATTATTGGTGCCGCAGACTAGAACAGTGGAGTTAGGGGACTCACTACTTAGTGGGTACAAGTTTCTTCTGCACAAATACTGTTGAATTTACTGGTGAGCAACCCCACGCCTTTGGATCAAAACTAAAATAGGTAGAATATTAAATATTTCTAAGCACGAGCCAGATGACTGGTCTTCTGGGAGAAAGTGAAAAAGCCTAAAAGAGAAAGCAGAAGGAAAATACCCGCAACAGAACAAATGTCTGAGAAGGAAAATATACAAAACAAGCCCTGTAAATGACACTTACTCACATGTAAGATTTTGGCACCATGAAAGCTAATAAACAAGGAGAATCAAGTCTTTAATAGACACTTTTCTAAAGAAGATAAACAAGTGGCCAAAAAACACATAAAAAATCTTTATTATTAATCAACATTATTAACCATTAGGGAAATGCAAATCAAAACCACAAGAAGGTATCACTTTATACCCACTAGGTTAGCAATGATAATAATTAAAAACAAAACAAAATCAGAAAATAACAAGTGTTGGCAAGCATGTAGAGAAAAGAGACCCCTCATCCATTGCTAGTGGGAATGTAAAATGGTGAAGCTGCAGTGGAAAACAGTTTGGCAGTTTCTCAGTAAGTTAAACCCAATTACTACATGACCTACATATTCTACTCTGAGGTAGAAACCCCAAAGAATTAAGAACAGGTGTTCAAATAACTTGTATGCAATTGTTCACAGCAATGCTATTCACACTTGCCAAAAAGTGTAAACAACCTGCTGGCCATCAGCTGACGAATAAACAAAATGTGATATATCTATACAATGGAATATTATTCAACCATAAAAAGGAATAAAGAACTGATACATGCTACAACATGGAAGACCCTTGAAAACATTATGCTAATACAAAGAGGCCAAACACAAAAGGCTACATTTTATAACATTCCATTTCCCTGAATGTTCAGAATAGGCAAATCCACAGAGACAGAAAGCAGATTATTGGTGCCGCAGACTAGAACAGTGGAGTTAGGGGACTCACTACTTAGTGGGTACAAGTTTCTTCTGGGGCAATGAAGATCTGGAGCTAGACAGTGGTGATAGTTGCATCACAGTGTGAATGTACATAATGCCACTCTCCGTGCACGTTAACATGGAAGATTTGGGTCTGCTCTGTGGCATGGTGTTTAGGGCAGCTAGATCCCATATGACAGATCCTTTGTTTCAAGTGCCAGACCCTATGGCTTGAGAAACATGCCTGCTGCTCTGGCAGGCTCATGCGTCTTCTAGCATGAAATAAAAACAGAGGAAAATGGAAAATTTTATGCTATGTGTGTGTTTCACTATAATTTTAAAAATAAAGAGGATCAAGTCTTTGCAATGCTAAAGTCTCAGGAAATAGCTAGTCTGAAGACATGTGTTCATAAAGAGCTTTCACATCCTCTCCACTAAGGTCCTGCCATACGCATTCCTTTTTCACCAATACTGACTGCACACATTATAAACCAGCACCCGTTTCCTTAAAATATTCTTAGATTTCAAGACCAATGCTATCAGGGCCAGCTGGTGGCATGGTGATTAAGGTGGCTGGATCCCACATGCTGGCTACATGGTTTGAATCCTGACCCAGTGGCTTGAGAAACATACCGGGCGCGTGTGTGCACATGTCCAAAATTCCAGGACGAGAGCAGAAAAGGGAATGCTACTAGGTTGTTGGGAAAGTCATGACGTGTTCTTCTATGGCAAACTGCACCATGACTTTCCCAACAACCCAATACTAGGCCATACCCCCTTTCTTACTGTCTTCCCTCTTCCCTGCGAGCACACCCACCCTATAGCAAATTATAAAGCCAACAAATTAAAAAAGGCCGATGCTGTCACTCTCAAAAGGGGCCAACAGCATCACTGAGAGGTGCAGGGTCACTGTGACTCTCCAAGACAGAGGGTGTTGTCAGTGATCCTCTCCCGACCCCATGGGTGCAGATGGTAGCGCCAATGTGGACAGAGGCTTTCCTACGGTGGCCAGAGTTGAGAAGGGAACGCTGCAGTCCACCAGGGGTGCAGTGACAAGGCCTTGTTCCCTGGAGCACACACAGCTGTGCAGCCAACACACCACCAGCCTGAAAGTGCAATGGGAACGGAAATGATATGCTGTCCTTCACCATCAAAGGAAAGAGCTCAAGTTCTAGGATGCTCCTAGGATTCCCCTGGCACCTACCGAATGGCCTCTAGGCCATTGGCGGCCATCCCACAGCAATGCAGATAAGGGGCACTTGAACTTTTTGTTCCGAGGATCCCCTGTTCTTAGCTCGGTTCCACCCAAGACTGTCACCTCTCTCCCTTCAGGTTTCAAGGCTCTACTCTAGCTCTTGTGGTTATCTGAGATGATCTGTAGAATCCACACAGGGTGCCAACTACAGGCTCCCGAGGTGTCTGAGAACTTTGGAACCAGGGCCAGGTGTTTCTTCGGCTCCTGATGAAGGCTTCCTTGATCTGGTTTTAATCAGTTTGGGCCATATGGCTGTCACTGAGAAATGTGTGTATGCTCAGTCACCAGTCTGAGCTCAGCACGCCGCAGGCGGTCAACGGGTCTGCAACTATTTCTGAATGAGTTAATGAACACACCAGGCCTGCACTAAAACTGGCACCCCTTCCCTGTCCCCCAAACACAGATTCACTATGGAGTTAAGCATACTCAAATTATCTTCAAATCATCACTCCTTTTTTAGGTCTCTCTCTTTTAAAATTTGCTATAGGGCATGTTCACTTTCTGGAGGGAGAGAGAGAGAGGGAAACTGAGAAAGCACCCCCGGGGGGAGGAAGGACATACTGCAATCACCTCCATTCTCCTCTCCTCATGGGACTTTGGGCACGTACACACATGTGCCTGGTGTGTTTTTCAAGCCACCAGATCCAGGACTTGAACCACACAGTTGGCCCTGTGGGATCCAGCTACCTAAACCTCCATGCCACCTGGCTGGCCCCAGCTCTCTCTTAATTATCACTCTAAGGACCAGCAGTTAGAGTAATGGCTATGTCGTTGGACTCCCATGTAGTCGACCGTGGTTTCGGACCCGGTGACTTGGACTTGCGCCGGGTGCGTGTGCATGCGTGCCCAAGATCCCAAGAGGAGAATGGAGGAGAAGGGATTGTGGCGTGGCCATCTCCCCTGGGGGGTGATTTTTCGCTTTCTGTCTCTCTGTCTCTGTCTGGCGGGCGAACGCACGCGCCCTATAGCAAAAACCTACCCCCCCCAAAAAAAAATTATCACTCTAATTTTGGATGTCTGACTTCTAGTAATGGAGAAAATGTGTTCCTTCGAAGTTATCAGCACCCAAAATTATCAAAGAGAAGTTTGTTCAAGATGCTGTTACCAAGGCGTGTTTGTGTGTGTATGTGTGTGAGTGAGGGGGGTGTGTGCGTGGGCCTTGAGATATAAATAACTCCTCACTCAAAAATGGCTATTAGTAGCCTGGATAATAAAATAAGCAAGATTCCATACGTACGCTGTCAAGTTTGGCAAGAAAGACTTTAGACAACTTTCATCCTTCCCACCCAATCCCAAGTAAATAGGGCATTTGTTTGCATTTCCACATTGGCTTCATGAGCGAAAATACCTCCTCCACCTAGAAAAACAATCTGTAACATTCAGACATGGAACTTTGAGGGCTAACCTTTTAGTGCATGCTACGGTATTAGGTATATAGTGCTTTTAAAAAGTAAAGTAGAAAAGTATTTTTAATAAAGGATTTTGTTGTGAGCATTTTCCTCATGTTTCCATTTATGCCTGGTTTGGTGTTTCTGTACTTTACAGAAATACAGATTTTTTTAAAAAGTGTTCCCACTAAAATTGAAGCCAGAAAGAACATTCCTCCTACAGTCTCCACCAACAGACCTGAACATTTCACCCTGCTTGACGGGGGAAAAAACACAAAAATCACTTTACTGTAAGTTTTTTGCTCTGTACCAACTAAGTTCTGGCAGAGTTAAAACTCTTCTGAGGTTAGTTCCTGTGGTTAAGAGGAAAAAAAAAAAGCTGGATGCTTAAATTTAGACTTGGTAAAACAATACTGGGAAACTTTTAAACCCTTGCAGAAATACTAGAGTTTATTTTATTGCCTTTTGTTAAATTACATCACATTAGTCACATTTTCTTGTCCTTTTTAATCCCTCCTGCTGCGGTTCACTGGGCAGATCCTCACATTGCCGCGTAATTCAATTACCTGGAGGGGTCCGGGGAAGAAAACCTACTAATCGCTCGGCGCAGGACCTGGGTTTAGCAGGTGGCCCTGGCCACCTCCCGCAATGCTGGACACACACTGTCCTCTACCAGCGCAAGGACAGAGGTCCTGGGTGGGAAGCCGAAGCCGATCCCTCGCAAGACTCGAGGGAGGGCGGTGGGGACTTGGGACCGGGCGTTAGGGATGGCCGGGGACGCTCAGCAACCAAGCCTAGAAAACGCGCCACGAACCACTGAGCCCTCGCCCTCTCCACGACCCCTCGGTCCCCCGAGATCCCGAGTCGGAAAACAGCGCGGTTCTTCCCAGGGGCCCGGACCACTGGGATCCCGAAGGAGGCGCCGAGCTTCTCCTTGGGAAAGGCCACCGGGCGCTCGGCGACGCAGATCCCAGCAGGTGCGACGCTGGGACTTTCCCAACTTCAGGAGTCCGGCAGTAGGGTGGGGGACCCAAGGTGCGCGGAGCCAGCCGCGCCCCCGTCTTCCGTCTGACTCCAGGTTCCCCCGCGCTCACGGGGGTCCCGGACAGGGGACACCGCTGCCAGGACGTCCTCCGATCGCGCGCAATCAATCTGTCCGACACCCGGAGGGCCGCACTCACCTTGCAGGAGCCCCTTGCGCTGGGACGGTAGCCCGCGCGCGCTCGCTGGCCTGTGCGCGCCGCCCGCCCCGCCCCGCCGCGTGCTCGCCCAGTCACTTAAAGGGACAGAACCCGCGCGCCCGAGCTGATCGCGCAGCTGCCTTTGAAGTCTAGGTGCAAAGTTTGAATTGGGGGACCGTCAGCGTGAAAAATCCCAGCCCCTATCCGCGAGTTACTCATGAGGAGAAAAGCAACAGATTTTTGTGTTGGAAGCTCTGAATAAGATGTCCCCCTTCCCCTACTTATTGTCAACAGCTTTGAGAGGTTGTTTTTGTTTTATTTACTGATAATAACTATGGACATATATTAAATACCAAAACCTCTTGACAAGGCATTTAATATCAACACATTACCTCATTTCATCTTGAAAACAACTCTCTGGTTTCTTATTCCCATTTTACAGGGGAGGAAATCTGAGGTGCAGAGAGCTGAAGGAAGTCTTCCGAGAGTATTTGACCTGGGGGTGGGGGGGCAGCAGGTGGTGTAGTGGTTAAGATGCTGGACCCCCGAGGCCAACCTCGGCTGGAGTCCCGCCGAGTGCATGTGCGCGTGTGCCCAAAATACTGAGAGGAGACTGGAGGAGAAGAGATTAGGGACTGGCCATCCCCTCTAGGGAGTGATTTCTCATTTTCCCTCTCTGTGTCTCTCTCTTGCAAGTACACATGCCCCCCAAAAAGAGTGTTTGACCCCATGGTTTGTTGCTATTTTCTTCTTTAATCCATCACTGTGGCGATATCTATCCAGGTTAACAGCGGTATAGATGTGGAAGGCTTTTGTGAGTTGATGGAAGTTAACATTATCAGTGTTTCCATAAGGCGGAACAACTCAGTAGAAACCAAGAGTTACATGCTTTTATTAATTGCAGGGTTTGTTATATACGCAAATGGCAAATATTATAACCACCTAAATTCCAAACACGTGTTTATTCTCATTGTACAGAAAACTAAGGAAGGAAATGGTTGGCTGGAAATGGTAGTGAGTCACTGGCAGCACTCGGGGCTGAGCCCCAATTCCTGATTCCTTACATCATTTCAGTGCCCTCCCCGGGAACAGATACCTGATTAAAGGGAAGAAAACTTTTCCTCTAATAACACATTGGCCTCTCCTAACTCCCTGCATCTTTAATTAATGTTTACAAAGCACTTTAATCTACCCAACATGCTAGTTAATTAGGCAAGTATTATTATCCCCCTCTCTCTGAACCAAATGCAGGAGCAAATCCATTCTGACAGTCCTTAATCTTGGGTGAAAAAAGACTTAAACTTTCTGGTTATGTCCTTTTTTCTCTCCCTTAAATTTTTGCCCCATATTGTGTTAAATGTGAATGCATTTATCATGAAGTGACTTAATAAAAGTTAGATAATATTAAACACCTGTGGATGAGAGGCGATCTAAGTAACCCTTATTTCTAAAGAATCGTGTGAAGGAAACAAAAAATTATATATATATATACATTTAGAATTATTTAACCAACTCCATTCATCATTATTATTTTAAATTTTGCCATAGGGCACATGTGTTCACCAGAGAGAAAGAGAAGGAGGGAGGGAGGGAGAAAGCCAGCCTCCAGGTCCAGGACTTGAACTGCAGTCTGCCATGTGGGCACTAGAGCCCCAATCAACACATCAACTGCTGGCTCTAAAACTATATATTTTAAAAATTTTACTACAGGGCTCCTGTACTTGTGGTAGGGAGCTGGGGGGAGGAGGAGATGAGGTCTCCACAATCCCTTCTGCTCTAGACTCCTCTTGGGATTTGAGACCCACTCACGCCCAGGGTGTTTTTCAAACCATGGGGTCCAGGACTCAGAGCATGCAGTCTTCCACATGAGATTTAGCTTGGCTGACACAGAGGGAAAAAAAAAGACAGTTTTAAAGTATTTCCCAGAATTTTTTTTTCATTTTATTCTTGGTGTTTCTTTTTGCTTGGTTCAGCTCTTTCATGGGTGTATATCTTAGAGGCAAAGAAGAAATAAGAAGGAAAAAGTTGAAGAATGATGGGATTGAGATGGAAGAAAGGGAAAAAGGCAGGAAAAACATTAGTGGAAAAAATGAACAGGAAAGAAAATGAGACTGAGAAGACAGTGTCAACCAACAGGCAGTAAGGCAATGAGGCCAGCCTCTGTGAGCACTCACCAAATCTTTGTGGGAATTACAATCAGGTGGTCTTCCTGGTGTTCCTGCAGAACTAGAACTAGCCGGGGACTCAGCTTAACTGCTGAGAACAGGTGGGCTTCTGGGCTCCCAAGTACCCCTTGTCCAGGCACCTTTAGGCCTACTGCGCACACACAGAGGACTGAACGGTGAAAAGGGGCATGAAGTAAGGTAAGAAAAAAAGAAATGGGGTAGAGGAAGCATTTAAAGACAGTTATGGGGGCTGGGTGGTTGGTGCAGTGGTAAAAAGCAACAGCGGTCTGCAAGACCCACATAGAAAGGCTCTAGGTTGAGTCTGGAGACTCCTTGAGGACACAAGCATGTGTGTACTCATGGTCTGGGGCCTGCTGAGGACACAGGCACGTGTGTGCCCGTGGTCTGGGGCCTGCTAAGGACACAGGCACATGTGTGCCCGCGACCTGGGGCCTGCTGAGGACACAAACACATGTGTGCCCGCAGTCTGGGCCTGCTGAGGACACAGGCATGTGTGTGCCTGCAGCCTGGGGCCTGCTGAGGATACAGGCATGTGTGTGCCCACAGTCTGGGCCTGCTGAGGACACAGGTATGTGTGTGCCCGTGGTCTGGGGCCTGCTAAGGACACAGGCACATGTGTGCCCGTGGCCTGGGGCCTGCTGAGGACACAGGCACGTGTGTGCCCGCGGTCTGGGCCTGCTGAGGCACAAACACATGTGTGCCCGCAGTCTGGGCCTGCTGAGGACACAGGCATGTGTGTGCCCGTGGTCTGGGGCCTGCTGAGGACACAGGCGCATGTGTGCCTGCAGCCTGGGGCCTGCTGAGGATACAGGCATGTGTGTGCCCGCGGTCTGGGCCTGCTGAGGACACAGGCATGTGTGTGCCCGTGGTCTGGGGCCTGCTGAGGACACAGGCACATGTGTGCCTGCAGCCTGGGGCCTGCTGAGGATACAGGCATGTGTGTGCCCACAGCCTGGGGCCTGCTGAGGCACAAACACATGTGTGCCTGCAGTCTGGGCCTGATGAAGCTGGGTGTGGATTGCAGCATCAGGACCATGTGGGAGATGTTGTCTCTCTGTCTCTCTCATTCATGGAAGAAATAAACTAGTAAATTTCAAAAAAGAAAGATAGGTATTCAGGGATTACATCCAGGAAGAAAAAAAGAAACAACCATCTGGAGGGTGTTAGTATGTGGTATTGTTAGTGCTTTTAAAGCCAATGAAATAGACATTTCACTTTAAATTTGACTTTTTTTAAAAAAAGAATTATTTATTTAATTTTATATATCATTATTATTTTTTAAAATTTGCTGAAGGGCATGTGTGCTCATGAAACAGAGAAGGAGAGAGAGAGAGAGAGAAGAGAGAAAGAGAAAGTGAAAAAACAAACTGCTATACCCAGGACTCTAACTCCAGTCAGCCGGTGGGAGTCCAGTGCCTCAACCACCACCACCCGCTTCACTTGACTTTTTAATAAATGTCTTCGAAGGCTGGAATTCGCTAAGAAAATGCTGATTGTTATTACGTATTACACAATTATTCCTACGAACGTTGAATAAGTTTAAAAATTACACAGTAAGCTAAAAAATTAAGCTAAATATGTTTTTTTAATTTATAAGGGAGAATTATTAATTGCTGTATAGTTTTTTATTATTTTTAATTTATTATCATTATAATCTTGTTTATTACATTGAATCACATATAACTTTATAGTGTATTACATTTCTTTTCCCAGAAGGAATACCATGCATATCAGTCAATACAGAGACATTAAAATCCCCATTTCATCATCCAATAGCTTTTCATTATTTTTCCTGATCATCATTATCATTATTATCATTCTAATTATTTTTAAAATTTTATTTATTTATTTATTTTGAGAGTTTTTTGCTGTAGGGCGCATACGCTCCCCAGAAAGACAGAGAGAGACAGAGAGACAGAAAGTGAGAAATCACCCCCCAGGAGGGATGGCAATGCCGCAATCCCTTCTCCTCCTTTCTCCTCTCAGGATCTTGGGCACACATGCACATGCGCCCAGCGTGAGTTTAAGCCACCGGGTCTGGGACTTGAACTGCGGCCGACTACATGGGAGTCCAGCGACATAGCCATTACACTAACTGCTGGTCCCTCCAATTATTTTTTTAAACTGTCAATCACTATTTCTCACTTTGCTTGTAAAGAGACGTTGCCCAACATGAAATACTTCTCAGACCAATCCAGTTGAGAATACTATACACTTTATCACCAACCGATAATAAACCATATCTGTGTCCCACTAATGTCATGCCTCTCTATTTATTCTCTTGCTATCTTTCTCTATACTCTTTTCTTCTCCCGCCCCATTCCACACAGTCTTATCCTCATTAACTATTTTCACTGCTTTTATGCCCTCCAATATTTCAATTCTACCATAGAATGTGGATAGTCGGTATATATTAAGTGGATACATACAATATCTTTCTTCATATCTTGGCTTACTTCACTCAGTAATAAATCCTCCATATCCGACCACCTTCCATCAAATAATTGCTGTATAAAATTGACTTCAGAACTTGTAATATCTGGGGTGGCCACTCAAGGAAGGCAGGAAGTAAAGGACAAAGAACAATTAGCAAGTGCATTTCATGACTTTTCTTTACTAAAAAATTATAGCATTTTAGCTGAAAGGGGAGATGTAAGACATGATTTTGGTTTATACCTCTTTTATTTAGGAGGTATGTTACCTTAAGGTATTTGTTCTCTTTGTATGTCAGTTTCTCATCGTATAATGAGCCTAGTAACACCCTTCAGGCTAAAATAAAACTATTTTAGGGGCCAGCAGGTGGCATGGTGGTTAAGGTGCTGGATTCCCACATGGTCAACTACAGTTCAAATCCCAGATGT